CCATGTCATCTAATTTTCAAACTTAATGAAATGGTTTCTTCCGAAGTAAATGAAAACCAATGTCAAATCTATGACAAAAGATGTCAACTTAATGTGACGGTAATTAAGAATGAGTGTTTTATTTGTATGTTTCTTCACATTAAGGTGATTGTGTTTCCGCTGTTAATCTATGAGTTGTATTTCCTCCCCTGCAGTGAGAGTCTCAGCAGGAGGTGAGAGTGAAAACTGCTTCATAGGAAGTTTCTCTGTCGCATCATTAGGGTCGCTGACGGGGGTCCTTCAGATACTCCTTCAATGGTACAATGTAAATCTACAATTATCGTAATTAATTAACAGCGATTACCATCTATCTGCCAAGGACACAGAGACACAGAGTGAATAACACCTTCACTTTATCTGTGAGGCTCCAGGTGTGATTTTGACCACGGGGGGGGAATGCAGTTAGAGATAATTACAATTAAAACACCAGCCAAGGGCAGACTGTGTGTCAACACTTATTAGATCAAAACAGTCTGATTAAGCAGATTCACGTCCACAAGATACAAATGATGTGGAGGAGGTACATTAACATGCAAAGAGAGGTGAGTGTTATTAACCCTCTAATTCATTAAAGTTGGATTAGGTTGATCATAACTATATATTTAATATAACCACAGATGACATTTAACCCTAACCCTAATTTGGAGCAAGCAAAGTCATTGATCACCAACCAAATGTGCAGCTCGATGCAACTCCTTTCAGCTAATTGTTTTGGGACTGCGTTCATTCTGAAATACCGATAGTGTGAAAAACGTCCCATTGGACCGCAAGCCCATTTTCGGAAATCTACTCACTCCCCGCAACAGACAGAAGAAGATGACTGATGATTATGCAATGATATGATTCCACAATCTCCTCCCCTACTATTTTGGTTAGACATTGGTTCAGGTTAGGGTAAGAACATCAGGGTCTAACTGGAAATAAAGAAGGTCCAATGCCTGATAATCAGTGATGTTCTTGAAGGTATATATTGCATTTTTTGGGGCAATCAGCCTTCAAAACAGTGTTTACGGGACAAATGGGGTTTCAGAATGATTGACCAATGAAATGGCAACCCTGGTTAGCGTTTCTTGCCCACATAGTAAAGTGGATTCTCACTGCTTTCATACGTTATCCCCATATTAAGGTGTGTACTACAGTACATAATGCTGAGCAAATATTTGCCTACATTACATTACATGACATGTTACTTGTTAGACGCTTTTATCCAAAGCGACTTACATACTCAATACTGTGGACAATCCCCACAGGAGCAATTTGGGGTGAAGTGTCTCAGGGACACAACGACATGCTGACTGCAGTGGGGTTTGAACCTGTGACCCCCTGATCCGAACACCAACGCACAACCCACTGCGCCACACACCTCCACGTACATACTTGTCTGTTTAGGTCTGTTAACCAGGTTTGTAATGGCCGCGTATTTGTGGATTATTTCTGATTAAGTCACAGTATTTTTAACTCGTAATTGCGTCAATTCACTTTGCATTCTGTCTAAATACACAGTTAAAACGCAGACAATCATTTCCAGCCAACAAACAGGCATAAAGAAAACTTTTTGTCAGCAACAAGAGTAGAAATACTGAACGTCTAGCAGCTACTTACCTAATTTTCCTACAGACAATTTCCATTCGTAGTTGTCTCTTCATTTGTTTTCCGCTGTTCACTCAATCCACATGGTTTTAACAAAACATCCTCTCAGATATCATGTGTTAGTTGTTGAAGACTTACACCTGACAGTTCCTTTGTGAAAAGATGTTTGATACTGAAGGAATGAAAACAATAGGAAAGAGAAAAGGGGATGAAGGTCCCTATGTGAAATCACACCAGACACATGGTTGATATGCAGTTAAATGTGGCACGCTGTAATTATTTGGCAACCAACTATTAAATCCACCTACCACCCATCACTCCACCTGACTGCCTTTTGTTGTCTTTCACATGTGTTAGTTTTCTGTTATATAGTTTTGTTCCTAACTCTAACTCTAAAGGAGTGAACAGAAGCATCATTTTGGTCCGTTATCAAGGTACGACTTCAGATAACTCCATTATGAATCAAAACTAAAGGGTACCCAAGTGATTTAATTGATCCTAAGAACGCATAAAGAACTAGAAAATCAGAGTAGCAGCAACCAAGATATCGTTTTGCATGCGAGAATGGGTAAAGACCCCAAATGTCAGACTTTGAAAAGACCCAAATCCTCGTAAAACGGTCACAACAGGTCATGATCGTGATGTGTGAAACCTGTGGAGTGGCTCTTCTTTCCACCAATGAAACTCTGGATTCATATGCAGTAGGGACAGGAAATAGAGAGGGCATGCTCTGTTTATGAATGAAATGCAAACAGGATCCCCAGGCCTCATAATGAATATGAATATGGATCTTATGCATTGCCGAAAGCACTGTTTTGCTTATACATGTGACAATGCCCGGTATTAATGTACACTGTTACGATTATCGCCAAACCCATGTCAAGCGCTTTGGCCAGCAGGCAGTTGTATCAGTGGCCGGTCAATTGGTTTATTCATGTTATGGGAGACACTTTTAAAGCGTATGAAATCTGGCTTTACTCCACTGCATACTAACAAAGCCAGTGTTGATTTCTCATCTTTCTATCCACATGAGCACGAAGCCAGCAGGAGGCTACATCTTTTTAAATAATCCATTCAACACCTTCAGATCCCACGTGAGATCAGTGTAAGTTTCTCCCAGTTTTCAAGCTCCTGCATACAAAAGATCCCGAATGTAAGAACAAGATTTCTTCAGAGAATAGATCGGTTAAATATGCATCAGCCGGCCGATGCTATTCAGCTCGTCTCCTGCTGCTCTGGGACTGAAATCTATTGAGATGAAGCAGCTTGGTTCCTGACTGAAACCCTGCTCTCTCTCTCTTTGTATCCTGTTCTTTTGTCAGAATTGAAGCCATAACATGATGGAGGACCAGTGGAGCCTCAGAAATAAGAGAGAACACACCAAAAGTGCTTTTTTGGGGTTTTCAGTGTTGTGTGGAATAAATTGATATCATTGCAGTGCAGAATTTAATAGCAGTATTGGCATGCAAAGGAATGACAAAACCTGTAAACAGAATACATCGGCAAGAATATCATTATGGGGGGATCGATTACAAACATATTCAACTTTGAGTAGGTCATATACAATTTTAATAGTTCAAAGTGATGTTCTGATGACATAGACATATAGGCAGCAATTTGTCTTGTTTATGTCAAAAAGACTTACAATGTGCAAGCACTGTTGTAGTGGAGGCTTGTTGCTTTAAGATAACATTTCATACAGAAAAGTTCAGTTTGGGATATCCATGTTCCCAAAACACTACACAGACATGTATAATACCATAAGAAAGAATTTTACAAAGTTTACCCATCATTTGTGTATTTATCTATTGTGAGATACCAGTAGAAATATGGGATTTTCATTCATTCACCAACTTTCTTCTGTGACAAAGTTACCTTTTCTTTAGAATAGAATATAATTGGGATGAAACCCTCTTTAATGGTCACACATGCAGAGCACACAGCACACACAGTGACATTTGGCCTCTGCATTTAACCCATCCTAGTACCAGGAGTCTAGTAGTGGGCAGCTATTGTACAGCGCCCGGGGAAAGGTCCCATGTCATGTTTTCCTGGTTATTACCCGTCCCCTTGTGTGTTAGGAAGGTTTCTCTGCATGTAAACGGTCTGCAGAGTCACAAACCCTCAAAGTACACCCTGTAGCGAGTACAACTCTAACACAGAAAAGACCTGTCTATGCTGCCCCAGAACGCCTCGTTGGACATTTCTCTTTTTCCATTTGTTTCTTCCGGGAACCAAAATGGACCAATCCGCGGAGCTCCTCACACACCAGGAGGGGTGGGGACCTTTAGCGTAAATGTTCAACGAACAGGGAGCCCCCTGGTTGGTAATAGACGAGTTGGGATGGTGGAGAAATGCTCTCCGCAGACCCATTCTCACAGCGTTATCAACCTTTTTCTTACTCAATATCAAGCCACACTTATTGTGTTTACTTCGGCTGTGAGTGTTTGTGTGTGCTCAGGATGAGTTTCGCTTGTTCCCGCTGTATCGCCGACCCGGAAACCACACCAGTAAGCCAGATCATTGAGCAGCGAGCCTCGCAACGTCCCGACCAATCAGAGCACACTGGGCTCACAGGGAGGGGGGGGGGGGGGGCAGGAGCTCCAACAAGCCGTTTAGGACAGAGAGTGAATACACATACTATACAGAGATGCTGTATGAGAAACCAATGTGAGTTTGGAACATTGAACAATATAAATCTATTCTAGTAGACCTCAACAATGGAATTATGATCAGTAGAAATGACCATGACATGGGACCTTTAAGAGCGCCATGGTGGTCACATTAAAATGAATAAGGGGGCTTTTCTTATAAACACAAATATTTCATATATCCTCCAAAATCAGTCTTCTGCTACAGCGAAAGCTCCTTCATGCACTATTATCTACTGAAATGTCTTCAAAATATCACATGACAACATTTGTATTTACTTCAGTCAGCTTTGACTGACATTGCCATACATTTTCATTTTTTCTTTACATAAGTCAAACCTCTTTATTGTTGCCTTTAACTCACTTGTGCGTTCAACCAATCAGGTACTTTCCCTCAACGCCATGGCCCCGCCCCTTTTTTGGAAGGAAACATTTGACTGGCGGTAAATACAGATTCTGAGGTTTTCACCAATCAGAGAATTAATAATACTGTGCAGTTTTAAATCTACAAGGAGCCCAATTACGAGGGTCAGTCAGGTCAACAATCGCTCAATATCTTCTATGATGCTTCAATATATATATTTATATTAAAATCAACAGGGGGTCGATGTCCTTTAGGCGGCAGGCTAACACTGAAACTGGGATTTCCTTGGCTTGTCAGTGTTTTATATTCTAATGCAGCTTCTACAGTCACTCATTTGACTTTTAACATTACAACCGTTCCCTGTACGATTGACGTTAAACTCATGAGCATCATAACCTAGCTGTGATGAAGTGTTTCCCATTGACTTACATGTATGGATTATGATCTCCGTCATTTGTGGACGCCTGAAGATACAGATATTTTCTTTTACCATCTTATTTTAAGTAAAGAAGATGTTCTTTTGTTGTTTGACGTGCGATACGTGACAAAGCAGCTTGTACTGTAGGCGTGATAAAACTATAGGCAGTGACGTAGCGCTGCTCTCATCTAGAACACTTTCTCATGAAGGCCAGCACAAGAGGGGTCAACAAAACAGAAAGTTAAACAGTCTCAGTTTGAGTATGTAAAACGCTGATCTTTCTCGTTGTACCACAGGAAGTTCTAGGGCGTCACAAATGAAAACTGAAGGTGTCTACTTCGTACGTAGTCTCAAACAGCAGCAACCAGCTTTTAAATCAGTTCATTGCTGGTCCAATTGCAAATAAAAACAACGTCTGGAGGTCTTCATGATCTCTTGTGGCGATTAGAAGTCCAGGATCTTCTTCTGTTGTCGTCGTCTCCTATTGGTTCCCTTCCTTCCTTCCTTCCTTCCTTTCTTCCTTCCTTCCTCTTCCTCTTCCTCAGCCGGTACAGATCTGTCACATCTATCAGGGAGAAACAGGACAGGCTATTAATACTGAGGTCGTAAATCCTCAATGGAAACAGAATGTAAAAATAGCGAAGAGGCAGTAATCAGCTCCTGTGTGCATTCAGAAAGGCAGCTATTTCTGGATTGCCCACACACACACACACCCACACACACACACACACACACACACACACACACACACACACACACACACACACACACACACACACACACACACACGGTTTAGAGGGTAGTTAACAGGATTGCCTGGCAGAATCAGATTACGTGTGAAGCATTTTTGCGGCCGCTTATGTTTCACTGCATTTTGACACTTTTGCACCACAATACAGTTTAACCTCATACAATGTGTAGAACTGCTCCAGCTGAACGGAGATCGCCCTTTAGATCATAAATCCCCAAAGTCCGTAAAATGCCTCGTTGGAGCGAAAACCAATTTGTTGAAAGCCTGTTATCCCCACTCTCCCTTCAACAAACAGAAGCACATATGGCTGATTATTATTCAGAATGAGCACAAAGGCACGACCTGCCTCTGATTTACGGTTACTTGTTGGCTCAGCTGGTTGCTTTGGAAAGGTTAAGGCATGATTGGGGAGACAAGATGAGCTTTTGCTGTGTTTTTCAGCATAATAATGACCCATATGGGCGAAGAGCCAAGGAATTCACTTGGGGAAAAAGAGCTTTGGGTGTTGCACAGAGAGTGTTTGGTTCCAGAGCAATGGGTCTTTGGTTTCAAGGCAACTGGCTTTGGGAAAAAAGTGGGTTTTCGTTCCAATGGATCATCAGAAAAATGGCATGGCAGCAGGTGAACCAGCGTCTTCTGCACATATAGTCTATGTGTCTGTATTTCTATGTGCATTCATTCATTTATCTTAAAAAATGCTGGTTTATTTCTATTTCTATTTTGAGATGTTTATATTTGAGAATTGTTTATTTCTACTCTTTTAATTTGTTATTACGTGCAATGCATTGTTTTGTTTAATGCTGCTGCATCAAAGTATTTTTCCAATTTGGAATTAATAAAGTACATCTTATCTTATCTTATCTTATCTCCTCTCCTCTCCTCTCCTCTCCTCTCCTCTCCTCTCCTCTCCTCTCCTCTCCTCTCCTCTCCTCTCCTCTCCTCTCCTCTCCTCTCCTCTCATCTCATCTCATCTCATCTCATCTCATCTCATCTCATCTCATCTCATGGACCAAAGAAACTGTATCTGTTACCATTTCCTCTAACTCTAATATAGCTATGTATGTAGGTCGGATCACATTAAAAATTCCTTGGATGAACTCCCATTTGTGGCTTTGGACGACTGGATTTATAAGATTAGTCACACTTCTCAGATTTTGTAATTATTGGGGGCTCCGTCTGAGAAACTCCAAAACCAACAATCCTCCCCTAACATAGCCAGAGCTCAGTTGTTGTTGAGCTCCAAATGCTAATTGAGTTATGTACATAGGTTGGATCAGAGCCTGATTTCCAAGGATTAGGTCCCATTTGTGGCTTTGGATGACTGCATTCAAAGAACATTTTCTAATTTTCTGCAGGGCTTCGTCTGAGGAACTTTCCGAAATCAACAGTCCTGCAAGCAAGCCCCCCATTACATCCGATTTGGCCATGTAGGGAGCAATATTGTGCGTCAGCTTGTCGCAGGTAGAGTGGGTATTTCCTTTGCTTTCAGGGTAACTGACTATGGGGAAAAAATGGGTTTTCGGGCCAATGGATCGTCAGAAAAATGGCACGCAGCAGATGAACCAGTTGGATGGAGTTTTTGGAAGAGCTGTACATAGTTTTTGTCAGTAAATCATTTGATTTTTCTGTCTGTTGTGGTCGAACTCTTGTTGTTTAACTCAAAATGCTGAATCACAGTTATATTCTGTCTGAGCTAAGTAACGTAGGTTGGATCACAGCCTGATTTCGGGAGGCTAAGCTGCCATTTGTGATTTTGGATTAAAATTAATAAGCATTTTTCTCCATAATTCCTCCATTAACATAAGGACTGGCAGGTGTTTGGAGCATTAACCTTATGCATCTGTTTGTTGCAGGTAGAGTGGGTATTTCCGGAGCAATGGGCTTCTGTTTTCAAGGTGACAGACTTTTTGTCAAAATTGGGTTTTCGGTCTTATAGAACATCCTAAAGATGGCATGGCAGCAGATAAACCAGCTCTCTGGATTATTTGCAGTGCTGTACACAGCCTTTGTATGTTAATCATATCCACCTTCATGAGTTGTCTTTGACCAAAGAAAATGTAGCTACCCTTCCACATAGTTTGAACTCAAGATGCTATGTTCGTAGGTTGGATCACAGCCTGATTTGGAAGGATGAGCTCCTATTTGTGGCTTGGGATGACTGTATTCAAACGTTTGGAAACCAGCAATCAGCAGCCTGATTTTGAAGGATTATCTTTGAATGACTGGATTAAAGAGACTATGCACACTTTTTGATTTCATTATTGTCGAGGTGGTTTGTCGGAGAAATGTTCCCGAAAAAACTAGCCCTTCAAAAAGTGACTGGCCAGGTGTGGAGCATAATACTTTTCCATCTGCTTGTTGCAGGTAGTGTTGATATTTTCAGCGCAATGGTGGTTTTTTTATAGCGGTAATGGGCTGTTGGACAAATGGGATAAGGTCCTTTTGTGTTCATTATCAACGATTTGAACTAAAAGGCAATTACATTTCCCTCTAATCCACATTGGAAGCCGTTAAGCAGCAGCAACACAACACTGTTATTGTGGCTTCACAGCCTCAGGCACTTTATCTCTCTGCTCCACACCAACAAACCAGTCCTTCTGATTGGTTCCCTCCCTCCTGAATGAAGATTCAGCTCCTGTGGTGAAGAAACACACCCATTTCTAAGGTGTTTTTCCTCCAAAGAAAACTACATTTGGCCTTAAGTTGTGTTACCGTCCCTTTTTAATGGAGACAAATGCATCAAAATAGACTAATCTAGTTTTTTGATTAAGAAGTAGAGGATCCAGAGGTTTAAAATGACCTCAAATCCTTAATATTACTTATGTTTGTTCAAAAGGGTCCACTGGGTAAAGCAAATTCCTGCATTGCCTGATTATAAAAACACAATTAAATCTACTGGTAGTTAAGTTAGTAGTGTTGCAACATTTAGCATCACTTCACACAACTTTCTACAACACTTTTGCTTTAAGACGAAAACCCCTGATCTTCTCTCAGCTCACATTTACACGACTGTATCTGAGTTATTACAACTCCCCTCGAATTCATTCATATCAAATGTAAGTGGGTCAGATGCAAATTCATTCATGGTGAATTCATTCATTCAGTGACTCTTCATTCATCTGCTTTTCAGGATTTGTTTCCCAGCTACAAACAATTCACTCGAGTCCATGTACACAAACGAGAACATATAGAACATACAATATCTGTTATGATTATATCTGATATCATTTTTACTGAGTACGTTGAGGTGGCCATACATGCTCATATAAAGCATTGCTGCTGGGTATATTTGGAAAACCTCAGATATATGAAATGCTGCATGTTGATGAATCACATCATTAATCATGGGGGTTGTTTCTTTCATTCATCTGCAACCGAGTTAAGTCATTTTCATCAGGCAAAAAAAGGACTCAAAGAAAAGCTGACCACCACAATTTAACCTTAATTTCATTTGAATAATATCTGAATTCTCGATATGAAAGAGTTTAACAAGCCTCATTTCATTACTCCATTCACAAATAAAGCTCAATGGGATCGCACAGAATGAAGGAGAGGCTCCTTTCTAACGAGGATAAGTTGCATCATCAAGAAATTGGAACGAAGTACAAATAAAGCAGACGTGTGAGGTGTTGCTTTTGATATATTTAGCGCCCATATCATTTCTGGTTCAAGTCAGTACCTTCCCCAGTTGATTAGAGATGCCAATAATGCTTTTAAACCACAAATGACAAAAGAGAGTGAAGCTAGTTACAACCGAATGCTGAACCAGGAATATTTAGGTGACAAAAAGATCTACCTTTCATTAACAAGTGACCAAAACCCTCAAGCATATCTTGATTAAATGTCTATTTAACGCTAAATGGGACCTTAACTTACTAAATGAACACATAAATAATATCATACTGTAATGGGGAAGACTAAAAAGTAGCTATTGACACTAAAAAAACATAAAAAAAAACGATTATTGAGGTGATAAATAAAGTAAGAAGTAATATAATTTTCTCATAGACTTCTATGCAACGGGACTTATATTGCAAACAGTTGCCATTTTCCTTATTAAACATCTCTCTGTTTATTTGAATTCTCTACTCTAGCCTAATCTAGTTTCTATATCTATATATCTCTATCTATCTGTTTGAAGAAATGATACTGAGGTAAGAAATAGAGTAAGAAGTAGGGGGATTTTCTCATAGACTTCTATACAATCCTGTCAGTTCACCCTATAGATAAATGCAGGTTAAAGGCACTTCATGCATTGCCTTGATTCTTAACTAAAATACCTCAACCAAAAACAACGTTTGAGTTGGGATTTCATTGTTTATCTTGCTGCCGTACAAACAGACCTTTAATGTACGTGAATTTCTTCGAAAAAAGGCCTTTTATTCATTCAACACCTCTCCTTTTATTTGACTTTCCCTCCTCTAGACTAATCCAATTTCTATCTCTGTGTGAATCAGAGCTGCAGTTCACATATTTGAAGAAATGATACTGAGGTAACAAATAAAGTAAGAAGTAGGGGGATTGTCTCGTAGACTTCTATACAATCCTGCAAACTCACCCTATAGAACAGATGCAGGTTTAAGGCACTTCATTGCCTTTTTGAGATATTTTACCAAATACCTCAACCAAAAACAAAGTATTGAGCTGTGATTTCACGGTATATCTTGCTCACTGGACCGTAGAAAAACACCTTCAATTCACGTGAATCTGTTGGAAAAACAGCTTTTATTCATTCAACACCCCTCCTTTTATTTAACTTTCCCTCCTCTAGACTAATCCAATTTCTATCTCTGTGTGAATCAGAGCTGCAGTTC